CCAGGTCACTAACAACTTCCATGGCTGCATATCTAGCACAAACATAATTGTTGCTCAAGCACTTCCACTACCAGATCACCCAAATTCCTCGGGCGGTAAACAGTCATGTAGATGCTTTGGTTCGCCTCACCTCAGCAGTGGAAAACAAGATTGGGAGAAAATTCAGGTCGAATTGTTGGCAGCACCAAGCACCATGGCTGCGGAAGTGTGCAACTTACAACAAGGAGATAGTTGGATTACCCCGATTTATAGATTCCTTGCTCATGGCACCCTTCCAAATGACAAAGTCCAAGCTAAGCATAATCGATACAAAGCTACCTGTTACTTGATCATTAATGACCAACTCTACAAGCGGGGTTTTAACCTACCATACCTAAGATGCCTTACGCCCGTAGAGGCGGAAACTGTCGTTCGGGAAATACATGAAGGAGTCTACGGAGATCATGCTGGATCTCAATCCCTAGCACATATGGCTTTTCGCCAAGGATATTACTGGCCAACACTCCACCAAGACGCCATCAGAATATCCCGCTCATGTGATAAGTGTCAACACTATGCAACTATTCCTCACTCCTCTCCCAAGCCGCTCACTCCTATGATCAGCCATTGGCCCTTCGCCCAATGGGGACTTGATTTGATCGGCCCAATGCCTACAGGGAAGGGCAAGGTTCGTTATGTAATCGTTGCAGTTGACTACTTCACAAAGTGGGCCGAAGTAGAACCCTTGGCAACCATTACTGAGGTAAAAATAGAAGACTTCATATGGAAGAACATCATTTGTAGATTCGGCATTCCTAATGTGATAGTCACTGACAATGGGCGACAGTTCGACAACAATAAGTTCAGGATGTTCTGTTCTAAGTTCAACATCAACTTATGTTTTGCCTCCCCAGCTCATCCCCAGTCTAATGGACAAGTTGAAGCCATCAACAAAATAATAAAGCAAACTTTGAAAACCAGCTTGGACAAGGCTAAAGGTTGTTGGCCAGAATTTGTACCCCAAGTTCTTTGGTCATACCGCACTTCGTATCGGACATCAACAGGAGAAACCCCATTCTCACTTGCCTTTGGTATAGAGGCAGTTGTCCCAGTTGAGCTTGAGCAAGCAACGTTCCGAGTCCAGAACTACGTGCCAAGTGAAAATGACAAATAACTTACCCTCAACTTAAATCTAGTCGAGGAACACAAAAACCAGGCTCACTTGAGGAATGTCGCCTACAAGCAGCGCATCTCCAACTACTATGACTCAAGAGTCAAACCTCGTTCTTTCAAAGTGGGGGACTGGGTATTGAAGAAAAGATTACTCTGCGACAGAGTCCCAAGTGAAGGAACACTTAGTCCAAACTGGGATGGACCGTTTGAAGTTGTTGGCATCAGTCGCCCTGGCTCCTACAAGCTTAGAAGCTCCGATGGCAAGACCCTTGGCCATCAATGGAACGCTGATCACTTGAAGTACTATTACAAGTAAACTCACATTGTACAAGTGTTAAGCTTCAACCGTTCGGCATCCTATGTAACGAAGACTTTTTGGCATGAATTCAATAAAAAGGTGATTTAGACAACTCGATCCTAATCCTCTTACATTCCTAGCAATGAAACAATCGGGTTCAAAGCTTCAACATGAATGCTTCCAACATGAAACAAAGTCTAAGTATATGTCAACAAGACTATACAAATAAACGAACAGCTTCACAGTATATTCGTTCAATCATACATTCCAACACATTCATACATAAGCCAACTGTGCTTTGAAAGGGTTCAACATATTTTGTGTCATTCGACACTTGTTACAATGTGCCTAGACACCTTGCCCTTATTCTCACCAACCAGGTGATGAAATGTGAAGAAGGAACTCATCTTCATGCCACCAACCAGGTCATAAAATGTACAACCCGTACTCTCCTTCATGCCAGCAACCAAGTGATGACATGTACAACCCGTACTCTAATAGCATTTGGCAACTTGCCACTCATGCCACCAACCAGGTGAAAAAGGAACTCATCTTCATGCCACCAACCAAGTGATGAAATGTACAACCCGTACTCTCCTTCATGCCACTAACTAGGTGATGAAATGTACAACCCGTACTCTAATATCATTTGGCAACTTGCCACTCATACCACCAACCAGGTGAAAAAAGGAACTCATCTTCATGCCACCAACCAAGTGGTGAAATGTACAACCCGTACTCTCCTTCATGCCACCAACCAGGCGATGAAATGTACAACCCGTACTCTAATATCATTTGGCAACTTGCCATTCATGCCACCAACTAGGTGATGAAATGTACAACCCGTACTCTCATTCATGCCACCAACCAGGTGAAGAAGGAACTCATCTTCATACCACCAACCAGGTGATAAAATGTATAACCTGTACTCTCCTTCATGCCACCAACCAAGTGATGAAATGTGCAACCCGTACTCTAATATCATTTGGCAACTTGCCATTCATGCTACCAACCAGAGGAAGAAGGAACTCACCTTCGTACCACCAACCAAGTGATGAAAGCAACTCACCATTCATTCCACCTACCAGAAGACGAATGGTACAGCTTGTACATGTGAACTTCTAGCATTCACAAATAATAAAAAACCCTCAAGTTTGACAACTCAACTAGAGGAGCACTTATGCTCAACAAGAGTTATAGTCACCAACAAAGTCTTATTGCAAGCCAACAACAACTTCAGTGCATGGCATACGAAGATCAAGCTATTCAGCCATCTTGCATCTGCTTCAAACATTTCCCCTATGTAACAATGCAAACACTACAACTCGTAGAAAGCTTCACACACTCTTGATCAAGACAGTGTGAAGTAAACCCAATTTATGGTGCCAACAAGAGCTTCATCAAAGGAGTTCAACCACAATTCTCAAAAGCTTCACACACTCTTGATCAAGATAGTGTGAAGCAAAACCAATTTATGGTGCCAACAAGAGCTTCATCAATGGAAGGCAACCACAATTCTCAAAAGCTTCACACACTCTTGCTCAAGATAGTGTGAAGCAAAACCAATTTATGGTGCCAACAAGAGTTTCATCAATGGAGGGCAACCACAATTCTCGAAAGCTTCTTCACACTCACACTCTTGATCAAGACAGTGTGAAGCAAAACCAATTTATGGTGCCAACAAGAGCTTCATCAAAGGAGGGCAACCACAATTCTCAACAGCTTCACACATTCTTGATCAAAACAGTGTGAAGCAAAACCAATTTATGGTGCCAACAAGAGCTTCATCAATGGAGGGCAACCACAATTCTCAAAAGCTTCACACACTCTTGATCAAGACAGTGTGAAGCAAAACCAATTTATGGTGCCAACAAGACCTTCATCAAAGGAGTTTAACCACAATTCTCAAAAGCTTCACACACTCTTGATCAAGACAGTGTGAAGCAAAACCAAATTATGGTGCCAACAAGAGCTTCATCAATAGAGGGTAACCGCAATTCTCAAAAGCTTCACACACTCTTGATCAAGACAGTGTGAAGCAAAACCAATTTATGGTGCCAACAACAAAAGCTTCATCAATGGAGGGCAACCACAATTCTCAAAAGCTTCACACACTTTGATCAAGACAGTGTGAAGCAAAACCAATTTATGGTGCCAACAAGAGCTTCATAAAAAGAGTTCAACCACAATTCTCGAAAGCTTCACACACTCTTGATCAAGACAGTGTGAAGCAAAACCAATTTATGGTGCCAACAAGAGCTTCATAAAAAGAGTTCAACCACAATTCTCAAAAGCTTCACACACTCTTGATCAAGACAGTGTGAAGCAAAACCAATTTATGATGCCAACAAATCATGTAAACTGATTCCATGAAAATCTAGGATAAATGCCATGTTCTAGGGTTCATGTGATGTTCATAATCCTCTTCATTCTCTAGGTGCAAAATCTAGTTATATGCCATGCTAGGTTGCACCTACTAATATAAGTTTGATTTATATGCCATGCATCTAACATACAAAGAAAGTGAGGATTCATACAATCTAGTTATATGCCATGCTAGATATGTGAACATCGTAGTTATGCATTTGAAATGGATAAGTTAAAAGACCATCTCATTGATTCATGAATGTTTAGGGGAAGGCCTCATTTTAAGTCAGATTTATGTCCCAAAAACGTTTCTAACCTATTTCATGTCTTAAGTTTATTTTTAGATGGTTCTAATTTTTCCCTTTTCTTTCTGTGTTTATTTCTTTTCCAAAATTACTTAAACCCCCCCCCCCCAATTTTTAATCATAGGAGTCATTAACTAATGCTAATATGTAAGAGTCAAAGGTTTTACTAAGTTGTTTATCAGCCCCTATGATTCGACACCCTTACTTGTGCCACTATACTATCCTTATATTTGCACTCGAAAGAAACTTCAACACTCCACCAGCTTGGCCATACATCCTATTATACCTAAGAAAATGGCAGATAAAGATCCAAGGTATGAGTCGTAAGAGCCTCAATTTCTCAAGTCCATGAAGATAAAAAACCATAAGATCTCGTAGATCGATCCCAGTGCCGTTCCTTGAACTCGGGCATTTGTAACTGTGAATGTTGCTTGCCCACCTGTTACAAAACTGATGGCAATGGTGATGCCTAACCAGTATCTGTTTTCTTTGTTATACAACAAGCCAAATAACATAGCAAGGCCTAATGCAAGTGAGCACTTGAGAGCAAAAATCGAACTTCTGCAACTAGGGAGGGATTAGAGAAAGGGCAGCGATGAAGGAGAGATGAGTGGGGGATAAGGTGTTTGAGACTCTAAGTCTAGCGAAGAGATTGAAAATTTAGGGTTTTTAATTTTACATATATTAAATTAAATAGGTAAATCGATACCCGTTATAACCACGGGTAATACCCATAATCGCTGGATACCCGTTATAACAGCGGGTAATACCCATAACTGTCCATTTAAATTTCACGGATAAACGGTTTTACCCATAACCATTTGTTCGTCTAAATGGTTACCCATAACCGTAACCGTGAACATTAAAAGAGCGGGTAACCACAGTTACTCAAACCCATAGGTATTTTGCCCATCCCTAGCAGGGGCCATGCTAATCTTCTCTGTATCATTCAAATTTCTTTTTGGCTAAGTGATTTGTAGTTCTAGAAGATAGTGTGTTTTAGCTTTGAGCTGCCTCTTGTGTTCTTCTTTAGAAACCTTAGCCACAAAATCACATTCAAAACTAAATACCCAAATTGTTGCATATTAGGGTAGCATTGTCTTTGTGATTTCGTTCTAAGTTTGTGGTCAAGTTTTTCAAGTTTCAAATATTTAAACTGACCTCTTTTTTATTCACGTCAGTTTCTTCCTTCAACTATTTGACTAGAGAAATTAACTAGTCAATGAATCTAGATCTACACCAACATCATCATAACATCATTTGCATTTTGGTTGATTTGGTTTCAGTGCCACAAGGTGAAGAGCTCAGGAGAAGCTCTACTTCGTGAAGACCGAAGGAATCCTCTTCTCGAGCAAAGTAAGGTTGCATAAAGCTAAAGCTGGTCTGTAGATTAGGTCTCAGAATTGAGCTTTGCGTGGTACTTTGTAAGAACCTTATTTACAATAGTGAATTGGACTCAATTGAGATTCCTAGGTTTTTTAACCCAGAGTTGGGTTATTTTTTGCCAAAAACTCCTTGTGACGTTTATTGCTTTTCTAGTTTACATATCTTACTCTTTACATGTGATTAATGTTCATCGTTATTTGCAAATATATAAGTCCATGAAACTAAGCTTCTTAGAGTTAAAATGTGCACTAAACTGGATTTTAGTTAACTAGGAACACTTCAGGAAACCAAACTTTAAATTGACTACTTCTATTGTTGGTAAACTAACATATCTGATCTTAGTTGACTAGTGTTGTTCACTAGTCAGACAAGCACATATATAGATTTTTAATTGCAGGATATTCCACCTGATTCCAATTTCAATTGTTATCAGAACCTTGCTCTAGATATACGTCAAGTGGTCTATGGGTGTTACTAGTATTGTGTGAAGTCTCACTATGGATCGTGACCGCATTTCCAGATCTTGCAACGCTCCTCCGTTCTTTGATGGAACAAATTAAGCTGTGTGGAGTAAGAAGTTTTAAATCGTTTTGGAAGCACAGGATCTGAATGTTGTTGATTATCTTACCCATGAATAGAAGGCTCATTCAAGGATTGTCGATGGAGAATATGTGATTAAGGCCAAAAGTAATTGGACTCAAGGGGATATATCTTCAGCCATGGATAATAGAAAGGCATGAAATACTATAGTCACAGCCATCTCACCAGATCAGTTTGTACATGAGTTATTGCACCATCGCAAAACAAGCATGGGACAAACTCAGAATTTTACATGACAAAAAAGAGAGGGATTTTAAACTCCAAATGACTCTTTCAAAGTTTGAAGATTTAAGAATGTTGGAATGTGAGACCTTATCAGTCTTCTATGAGAAAGTTGAAATGTTGACTAATAAGGCATTGGAGCAGGGAAAACATATTGATGAGAATGTCCAAAAGACCTTGAGAACCTTACCCAAGAGATTTCAAGCAAAGAAGGTTGTTGTACAAGAATTTCAAGACTTGAATGAGATTAAGCTTAGAAAATTGGTTGGCAAACTCATCACCTTTGAAAGGGAGCTAGACATGGATGAAGGTGATTCCAAGAAGAGAAAAGAAGTTGCACTTCAAAGTGTTGAAAAAACTCAAGCTATAAAGGAATCATGTGATCAATCTCCTGATGATGATCATGCCCTATTTGTTAAAAAGTTTCGAAGGATTCGCAAGAACAAAGGAAATAAGTTAAAAAATTTGGGGAAATAATCACTTGGGTCAACATCATGAAAAGTTCACTTCTGGACAAAAACAAGGGAGGTTTGTTAATAAGAGGGACATGTCATCTTCAAGTGTACCTGGACCGTGTTTCGAATGTGGTGGAAGATGACATCATGCTACTAAGTGTGCAAACAATGTAATGTACAATAAAAAACGTGATAAACCCATGATGGTCACATGGAGTGACAATGAAGATAAAGATTCTGTCTGTTCTAACAAATCATCAAAAGATGAAGAAAAAGTTGTTGTCTTTGTTACATCTATAAAAGAAGCCTCTACAAGTGGAAATGATGATATGATGAATGATTCTGAAGAAATATTGCATCATGATATGTCTGCCATGTATGACTTTCTGTTTAATGATACTTGTGTTTTAAAATTGGACAATGCTGAGCTGGCAAGGTTTCTAAGTTGCAAGAAAAAGTAAAGTCTATCTGATTAGTCAGAACGGCTTATCTTGAAGCTCAGGTTTAGGAATTGATGATACATTCAAGAAAGACTACTACAATAAGTGTTAATCTTGGTTAGAGTTTCCCAGATCTAAGCCATAGAAGGTGGAGGTCCTTTGACTGGATCTCCTTTTCCCCTAGAAATGGTCGTTGTCCCTTGAGGGTTGTTGCTGGCTCCAGGCGTTGCTGCAATAGTTGAAGGTAACAGGTTTCTTGCCCCGAGGATAACTGTTACGTTAAAGGGTAGGCCTTTTTCGCTGGACGGGTTGACATGGGCGTTGACTAGACTTTCTTCGGCTAACATGTTTGTTGGTGGAGTGGTATAGTTGAGAAGAATATGGGTATTCTCTCAATGAAAGCACCAATTGTTGGAACCAAATTTGCGCACCTCCTTGAGCGGCAATTGAGCACAAATCCGTGTAGTCTGAAACAATCTGCAAAATAGTAAATAACTGTAAGCAAGCCCTAGGCCAGGGGCTATCAGCCAAAGGCTTTCCAATGGTTAAGTTAGTGAATGGATTTTAGACTCATGCAGTGGGCAAAAGAATTCAAGTGTATAGACTGCGTTGTCGCAGATGAACCCTAAATGGGTATATTTATACTGTGGGAAAGAGTCCTTTTTAGGATAGAAGCTCATTCTAAGCCGACATAATCCAAGAAGGTATTTAGTAAGCAGATAATGCATCCTTTTAGGAGTGTGATTACTTGCGATGCACACCTATCCCTAGATTGTAGGGATTCTAGGACTTATAAAATTTGATTGAATCCATATCCAAATCAAATCGTATATCTTGCGGAACAAGCATGGTCATCCAGTGGAGTCACTTGAACTCCATTTAGTGCCCTAGAGCAGAATGATGGTGGCATCCTACTCCGTCTGATATAGCTCAACTTCATGAAAAATGATGAAGAAACGAGGGAGAAAGGTCGAGTTGCAGGTTTCCGGCGCCGGCGACACTGTGCCGGTGACGCGGGGAAGAAGAAGCGCGCGTGGGGGCGCGTAGGTCCGTGCCACCCACGGTGCTTGGAGGCGCGTGGCAGACCCAAAAATTTTTCTAAAAAATTGTCGATGTCCGTGACGTTGAGTAGGTCGATGTGGTATATTCACATACCCAAATTGAGCACCGTATGAGAAGTTATTTTGAATTGTTGGTTATGTGTTTTAATTAACGTTTTTATAGTTGTTTCGCATATAGGTGACACCTATCCCGAGGACGAGCGCATCCAGGGACGTCACGGGGGTTACGACCCATCTACTTACCAGTGAGTGGGAAGTTTTTGTTTTCGTATATACCTAGATACTACTAATTTCCCAGAAATTGAATTTATATGAAAATATGTTTTAAAATGCCATACATGCATATTATGAGATATTTGAATTGATAATTGATGCATATATATATGAATTGATGCTGTGGATGCACAGGTGAGTTTTACGTTATTCATACGATTTATTTTATGTGAAGTGCATTGAAAGCTCATAACCTACACCCTTGGTGTTAGTGCTTATATTATTCACCGCACCGCACGCTCGCCTTGGATCCAAGTAGGTGAATGTCGTACAGACCATGTGAGGGTTCCGACATGCTAGTCATATAGATCGCTAGAGGTGATTCTGACTAGTGGGTGACCTTAGTTTATGCGCGCCGATGATGATTGATGAGAGAAGCACTAGAGCGTATTCTTACACTTTTTCATCATACAGACTACCTTACGTAGTTCCGAGTGACGTGCAGAGTAGTGCCGTACAGGTCACCGTGGTGACTCCAGCTGGGTTGGATATTGAGCTGGAATTAGCCGTACAGGACCACTGTAGGGTCTCCGGTTATTTCATTATATCACCTGTCATGTTGATGCATCCATATTTTTAATCATTGACATTATTGCTGGCATAATTACTGGTTTTTGATAAAATTGATGCTTGAGCAATTTGAGTAAATATTATGCCATTATGTTAATTTCTGGGAAAGTATACATGTTTTACAGTGAGGGGTTAGAAATGTTTTAAATGAAATGTTTTGGGAAATCTTTGGTTTTACTGACCCACTCAACTTTTTTTTGCGCCCCTCCAGGTTCTAGTTAGCAGTTGGTGGCTCACAAGGTTCTTTTCGGCGTTCTGACAGACGTCCTGCATGTAGGACTCACCTGCGGGTGTTGTACTCTTAATTATAGTCCTACTTTACTGCACCTAGTATCTACGCTCTGAATTCGTGTGTTTTACTTTGTAACTCACTCTTTTATGCTAGTAGGATATTACTGCTAGTGGTTGGTTTAAATTCCTTTTTATTTCTCATATCTTTTGCTTCCGTGTCGCACTTTTGGCTACATCACGCTCACGTGACGGCCAGCACACCTTGATTCTAGGATCAGGGTGTGTCAACAACAGGGTATCTAGATTCAATCCATCAAAATTAAAAATGAGTATTATAAAATTTGAAGAAATTGGGGTGTATATAGAAATATAATGTGTGTTTTGAGAATGTGGGGTGTGAGGGTATTATGGAGAGGTATGTGAGGTGTATAAAGATAATTTTTAATTGAAAAAGTAAATGTGGGGTGTTAATATAATAAGCCTTTTTTTTTCTTTTTCTTTTTTTTGGTAGGGATGATTTTAAATGAAGATTAGAAATTGAACGATTTTTATTGTAAAATTTATATGGTGAAGATACACTAGCGAAGTGTGGAAGTGTATTCTCCCAATGGGGAAATCCTTCTTAAAACATTTGTTGTATATTTACAAATTTATTCTTATGATCAGAACCATTCACATAGATAAATTGTAAATAGATAAATTGTTTGTAGTATGTTTACCTAATAATTTCTTTTCTACAGTC